TAGTCTGTGCTACAGTGAGCATAGCCCGGCAATTCCGTGACCATGTCAGAACGCATGTGAACTACAGCCCTAAAGAGCGGCTAATTACGTGGAGGCGTGATGTGAAAATCGAAGCTCCACTGCCTAGCTGGACGTTGCATGAACAACTCTTGCAAGTGAGCGCGGGGATCCGGCTCGCACGTATGTTTCAATCGATACGAAACACCTTTGGTAGGGCGGCTGTAGCCTAACACATATAAACTACGGCATTTGACAACACAATCTCCTGGGAAGAGAGCTACATGAATGTGTTTCCGGAACCATTTGAGGGTAGCTTGGAACGTTCGCAGGTCTTCGGCAAACGTGAAAGCTTCCAGCGGCAAACTGCATGGGCACAATTCCCTCATGGCATATGAAGGCCACTTCCCAGCCCGAAATTTATTGGTGTTGACCGGAGGTCTCAACCCTGTGCTGAAATTTACCCAGGCCAAGAGCGCACTGGCAAACTGGTAGGAATAAGGGCATCTTCTCAAGGCATCATCATCAACAAGTGCCACATGCGAAAAGCAACTACCCGATACATCCAAGACTGCGATATCAAACCGCTGTGATACGCGAACCTCCGATCTCTTAGCAAACTCAAATTGAGCACATTGAATAAGGAAGGCATGGTATTGTTTAACCACACCCTTCTACTCATGCTGCTTGGCATTCATCACCCTCAACTGGCGATATGAGTACAACTCGGCACGTTTCACTGTTCCTTTTGCAGCGGAGTCTGCCAGATTAATGTAATGGCGGCAAGTATCCAAAAATGGTGGGAGCTTTGCATTCAAATCCACGTGTGCTTTGACCTCTTGGCAAACGCCCCCAACCCCTCTGGCCTACCCGCCATGAGCGCATCAAAGACCTCCCATAAGTCCATATGTTCATGAGCGGCGGATGGGAACCCTTGAGCATTGACGGCATACTGGCAATCGGATCACACAGTGCATGATTTCGAAAGCTGAAGCGCAAGCAACATCACATAGATTTCGGCTCGATCGTTGGACTGCTCGCAGCCCGGCAGCACGCTTGAATGCACAACACCCTTACCCTTACAAACGTCCGCGATGACTGCGGCAGACGCTGCAACTGACGACAAACGATGGTTTGGCCAATAGCAAGACCCATCAACAAGAATGAGTAATGCTGCACAGCTGTGAGGATGAGAAAAGGTCAGAGGCTCAGCATGCAATCGGTTGAGGAGAGGCCACGTGTCAGCAGTCAAGGGCACTAACACAGACAAACAAACAAACAAAAGGGCTTCCCCAAAAACACGGCAAAAAACATGCGCTTCCCTGGACAAATGTTTGCGTCCACGACAGTGTGCCCAGCTGCCATGCATGTGTGGCAACGAGCACAAGTGAAGGTTGCGTGCTTCGATAGTGTTAGTTATATACTATGCGCCGTAAAGCCCAGGAGAACAAGGCCCTTCCCGTAGTTAAATCAGCTGTCAATGGGAGGCACATCCTCCACGTGGACCTGCGGCACCTCCACCAACTGCTCAGCAACCATGGCAGTGGGAACCTGTTCCATGATGCATCTTAATCAAGCTCTTTGGCAAATGAAAGCCGGCTGCCTCAACCACACGCTCATGGCATTGGAAGACGGGCACGCCAACCTCTATTGAATAAGTCCGGGAAGCTGCCAGCATCTGCCCACAACCTTCACCTCGTCCCACCTGCTTGGGCACCTCACGCACCTGTGTTTTCGGGACCTGCTTCACCAAGTTCACGTACTCCACCTTCGGAACCTGTGCAGCACACTTTCGTTCACGTCAAAGAAATCGATAACCTGAAGGCCATAGCCTCCTCAATTCGCTCCTGAACCAATATGTGGGGAACCTCTACAATCTTCTCGGTCACCTGAAGCAGCTCACTCTCACATCTGCAGAAACAGCACGAAGAGGCGGGAGCCTCATATATCGGTCTTACCACCTCTTTTGTAACTTCTTGCACCTGCCAAATGGCCAGGGTTGCATTCCATGTCAGAACTTGTATGCAAGGCTAGAACAAGTGTCCATGCAGTTTATATCAGCTGCTTTTTTGCTTTGCAGCAGAAGGCTGAGGAAATCAGGTCAGGAATAACGCGTACCTCGGATCAGACTTTTCGGATGTGATTGCACACAGGGGGAAATACTTCCAACTGCTTCAAGAGCAAGTACAGCAAACCCGCACAAGCTGCAGTAGTGAGGAGTGCTTCTCTCGCCCAGCACCTGCATAACTTTCGGGCTCCTCCTGCCAGGAAATCCTATCAGGCGATCTCGAATTATGACAAGTTTTTGCACGAACATATCCGATATTTGCCTGATTAACATCACTGAAGTAATCAAGTCATAGAAGTCATAGCAGTCCCATTCCAAGAAGGGCAGAGAGGGTCCTTTATCATGGTGAAGCCGGCACGTTCATAGCAAGCTCGAGCCAGACCTTAATGTAGCAGCTCCTCACAATCTTGACATCCAATATCGATCCGCTATCTGAGGCACGATTGTAGGCAGCGAGGTGTAGTGCCTTGGTTCTTTGGTTCTTGTGAACGCAAACGGCCAACAAGCCGAGACCCCAATGTTTCTCAGGCCCGTGCCACAGCTCTTAGAGACGTATCTTTAGGACTGTCACCTGCAAACTCAGGACCACAAAGCACAGCCTTTCGATTCCTTCGACACAGTTTCTGAAACGGCTGAACTCGAAATTTGAGATCAAGAAGGCGCCACGCTCTACTTCGTATTCTTCGATCTTACTTGTTATGTTTCTTCTTTTTGTTGGCGCTCAAGCACTCCTTCGCTTCAGCTGAACTTCATGTTGTTACCTGTTCTCATCTTGTAATCTGGCTTCGCGTGGCCCTGAGAACCTTTATTTTTTGGCATCTATTGCGAGACTTTCGCTGTTAAGAGTCCACTTCTGTTGGCTAGTGACTCTTCGTGTTGGACCTGACAGCCTTATCTGCAGAGACTCCTTTGAAAATTCCATCATGGTGCGAGTTCAGGTGGTGACCAGCCTCCAAAGAGCTTAGTCAGCTCATCCCGTGGCTTCGCTGCACTGCGAAGTGCTGCCAAGCACTGGCTAAGTAGCCCGGATGCCAGGCCACGGCGACGGACCTTCCAGGGCAAAATGCCTCACTACAGATACTCGTATCTCTGCAATAGAATGCCGTTCGGAGAGATCGACAACAGGTCCGCTGCTTAACACCAGATTTCCCCACGATCAGTTTGTAGACCCTGGGACTGCTCGAATCTTCAACAGAGTTCTTGTACGAGAATGTGCGTAATTGCCTTGCCTTGCAGCGATTCAGCGATGTGTGCAAGATGCGAAACAAGAGTTTGACGCTAGCATGCGGGCCACGTCTGAGCTTTTGCTGAATCTTCGTTACGTCCTCGTCCGGACAGCAACCCAACCCTACCATACACTCCTCCGCCAAATGCTTGAGGTCTGCTCTGCATACCCAGCCATCCCTGTCTGTCTTTCCGTAACTGACGAAGACCCTCAAGTGTGGATCTGGGGCTCTTCACCTGCTGTGCGCTGACAGTACAAGCTTGACAGAGGGCAGCACCTGTTTTCCTTTGGGTGATTGCATTTTGAAAGGTTTGAAGCCTCCACGGAACAGGATACTACCTCAAAACCTTTTAGGTACTCCAGCTGGCGCCTCGCCCAAGCTACCAAGACTCAGAATATAGCCCAGTTCTTGGCGGTCAGGACCTTGCCGCTTCACCCAGTCAGCAACATTCAGCATTCCTGCCCGTTGCAAATTCATGCAGTGCTTGGGCAGGCGCTGTCCCAAGGAATGTACCTGGGAATTGTCAGCTCGCTCCGCAGCATGTCCACCGTGGCTTCGCCAGCAAACTCCTCCCGAAATCAAATGATTGTTCTGCAATTTCCAGCTGAAAGGTCACACCACGATAAGTACAACCTGCCAAATACGTCACATGCCCAACAGAACCAGTGCTGTAAAGGCTTCCAAACCAAAGCCAATGGGTGGCTCCCACCTCAATTGCCTCACGAGTTGCAAGCGCCACCACAATGCCCACTGGAGCGGCTGAAGCATCCTGACATTTGCACGACGCTTTTGAGCTTTACCAGGCTTGCTCTCAGTGGCGATGTCCTGCGGAATTGCGGCTTTGAAGGCGATGACGCCCGAGTGGCTCAGCAGCTGAGCGCACCAAGGCTCACCTCCTAAAGAATCGCCGCGTGGGGTTCCTTTTACAGCTTGACAGGTTGCCGAGTCCGTCCTCTGCAAGACTCCTTGGGGAACCATTCCTCCTGCATAGCACTGCTTCTCAACAAAGCAACGAGCAAAAACTTGTCCTGCAAATCTGCCAGGTCTTTGGCATCTTCCGGAGTCATTGGAAGGAAGCGGAAGTCCTTCCAGTCTTAATACAAAGGCGCGCATCTAAAAATGTTGGTAACAGCACAGGCCAACAGTCCGATGACATCTTCACTGTGTCGAGGAGCTCCGGCTGGCTCTCTAACCTCCCATGGTCTACAAAGGAATCACGAGTTTGGATAGCTGAACGGCTTAAGCCGTCACAAAGGCCCAAGTTAGGTGGCCAGCGCAACACAATGGGAACGATATTTGGCAAACATGCAAATCAAGTAACAGAGATCCACTGTATTGCAATGACATCGTGCTTTCATGTTCCTCGACGACCAATGGGCTTCGCTAATGCTGCTTTAGATGCATGTACTTTGAACTGAGTCCGAGATGCAAGCCATGTGCACGTGCTCGTAATTCCGGTGCTGTTGAACCTCATAAACTCGACGAAAATCAAGAGCTTTCACCTTGAAGCCATATACCTTAAAGCTGTCCTATCTCTGCTGAATTCTGCATGGCCTCTGTAGGGATCCAACCTGGAGGTAGTGCGGACGAGAGTGGAACAGGTCCATCTACCTTTCGTGTCACCGAATACAGGCTGCAGGCAAGCACCCTGGCGCCCTGCTTCAGCTGCCTGCCGCAACCGCGGCTTCGGTCGATTGCCCTTCGCACCTGCTTGCTGGAATTGAACTGGTCATGCTGAGAAGATGTTTCTACCAAAAGGTCTCTTGTCTTGAGGCTAAGTTGCGAAGCTTGTCAACCAGACCCCAGCAGGCCACTCTGGGTTCTCGCTGAGGCCGAAGAAATGCCCTGAACCGCGTGGCAAACAACGTGGTAAGCGCAGAAAAAAAAACTTCCTGTCCCAGCACGAGCTTGGCCAGGCTGTCCAGAGACACAGCAGCCCCAGCACAGCCGCCATTGGCCCAAGTGTGTGCCGCACTCGCATGGTTGCTACGTGTGAAAACTACTCTTCATGCCCTGACTCAAGTCATCCAAACAGGCTTCCATGTCGAGGCTACAAGAAGTCGAAGTATTCCAGTTGTATTGGCAGGTTCTTCTCAAAGCTCCAAGTTTTTCAACGACAGGCTGATTACTTACTGTGAGGTTGCTCGATGGGCATTATGAAGAGAGCAGTGTGAAACACATACATGCCCATAAACAAACAGGAAAGCTTGTGAAGCTTTGTCGTTTGGAGGGTCCTGTACACAACATGCAGTGCCATCATGTCTGAAGTTTATCACTCTCTTGGTGCTTCAGCGGAGCCAACCAAGCTTCAGCAGCAAAACCTGAAAGGGCACTGCAGCTTGTGGCTCTTGTCCTACGCAACACAATTTCTCTTCCAGCTTCAAGATCCAAATGTGTTGGCAGATCTATGAAAGGTTACGCTGATTGTCCTTGAGACCATTGAAAACTTGGATGGCAGAAACAAACGACCGCACATGAGCAATGACCTTCTGCACTGCATTAAATTCTGCGCAAACTGCTGTAGATGTCAACTACCTTGCCTCAACACGCGGAACCTGCTTCAGAAGAATAGTCTCCTGGATCTTGGGCACCTGCCACAGCAAGCAAGGAAAAAACACTCATGTTAGGAAGCTCTTTTAGTTGCCAAGCGCAAGCCAATGAATCTGCCTGAAAGAGGACCCTGGCATATGTGCAGCATGTATTGCATGGTCTGGCCTCCACAACTTTCTCTTGATAAAGGACCGTCGGAACCTCTTCGGCAATTTGGGCAGAAAATGTACTTTCAACTGCCACGCGAAGACTTGCCTCCACGATCTGTTCCTCTATCTGCACCTTCTGAATGCAAAGTACGCTGGCAAACACTTTGAAATTCAGCCTGAAATGTTTCACGGCCTCCTGGACCGGAGGACTGGCACAAGGTTCAACGCAAGGTCCCACTGGCATTGCCTGGGCGACATGCTAGATACCAAATTCGGTTCTGGTGCTAGTGCGTATCATAACCGGGGTCAAAATGAACTGAAGCAGCTGGCAAATGCAGGTGGTCATGCTGAAATTATGCCAGCACATGACAAACATGTCCCACTTCGTGCTGCGTGCGAACGTAACAATGCCTAAGCCGCCACAGACTTACAACACCGCTGGACCAACGCTTTCCGATACACCTTCACCTCCTTGACCTGAACATGGGATTGCGCATCTTTTTCTGAAATCATGTTTGGATGGCTAACAGCAGGTTAGCGTACAACTATGCATGAACTGTCAGCTTGGAAGATCACCTGCGCCTGTGCACGAAGAGCGCCAGCTGCAAGCACGCCGTGCGTCTTGCGCAGGAAATTGGCAGGCTCATTAAGTATTATCTGCAATTTCACTTCTGATTTGAAAGCTACCATCGCTCAAGAACGGATTACTGAGAAATATGATGGCACACTGTACACGATGCAAATTGACGAATTGGGTATGAAAATATGTTCGCCTCGCGTCTGGCTCCACACTTGCGGCAGAATCTCCTTGGGCGTGCAACCAAACCTCTCAAATGTCACAGCAATGTAAAACTGCTAAGGCCGAACAAAGCCAAAGAGCGAATCGTTTGCAAATGTGTTCCCGCAGTGTTTGCAAACTGTCTCCATGGCATGTGTCAAACCAATCCCATGAGTCAGCAAGATTGCTGGTTCACGTCACAGCAGCTTACGCACACGGATGTCAGCATTAGTGCGCACGCATGTATTACTTGGCTTCCAAACTTACCAAATACTGATGTCATTGGAAATGTGATGGTGTTCGAATGCTGCTTCAACTCAACCCAAATTGTTTGAGACATGTCAATAATCATGCCCGATACGGTCGATGCGAATCATCGACCATCTCAACATGACTTTGCAATTTTTCATTCCATGGAACGAGAACAATATCATGACCATGTTCCAGCACAATCTCTAACACTGAGCGGTCAAACAGCAGCTTCTTCTTATTCGTTCAGAATCTTGAAACAGTTCATGTGCACCGTCACTCACATGCATATATCACTGCCGACCATCATATCAATTATACAAATTTGCATTCCGACATGCACCGAAATTGCAAGACACGGCTGGCCTCTGCATTGAAAACTTGCGGACAATGCGAAATTTTCTGGCTACTTCATTCACGACAGTCAAACTGAGGTAGGTCCAAAAACCGAAAACACGCATGTTGGACGACCACTTGGTCCGAATGGCCACTGCGGTCTTGTACTTATTCTCGGTTTCTTCCAGAAAAAAAACGAGAATTTCGCTGTGAGGGTTTGTTTTTTGGAAAATCACGAAAAGCATGACAATGCTGTCACTCCTTACAAGGCGTCTATCTGTTCCTATTTACATCCTTCAGAATTCAAACACTCCTACCAGTTTTCATGACGCCCTAGTGCCAAAAAGACATGTGTTTATGGTGGCATTCCGTCCCTTTGCTCCACGCCCTATGGCCTATGGCCTTATATAGTTTGCGGGAGTCTCCGGTCACCGGATGCCGAAGGGTCTGCGGGGGACATGGACTGAATGCGCAGGCGTAGGAAAGAAGGCAACGAACGACATCGCCATTCATTGCGCCTTAGGCCTCTTCCTAATTCTTGCAAGACGATTACCAAGGCTCCATACATAAGCGATAGCATTTTCAACATGGTGGTTAATTGTACCCACTGAATAGCATGTCATGTAAACAGTACCTTCAACTTTCATTTGAGGGACGCAAACTAACAGTTGTCCAGAGAAAACCTGCTTGATTTGCATATCATCAGATCTCACGTTATCCTGAATGTGATTGTGCGCACCAGTGGATTGATGCGTGCTACGGGATGTATCCAGCATCTTTTTACGCATAATTGGATGATTTTTGTGGCAAACCGTCTTTGTACGTACTTTTTCCTAACATTGAATTGGGAATTTCCATGCACAAGAGCTTTACTGCGAAAATTGTTTTTTTGATGGTGACTCCACATTCATTGCGGGTTCTTATTGTTACATGGGCCATCGCCCGCCGACCCGTGCGGCTCTTCCTCTGTCGCGCAAACACTTTGGACGCGCCGAAATCAAAAATCGTGCTCCCGCGCGGAGCATCTTTGATATTTCGCCGCTTTATTTCACAAATCACTGAAACACACTCCATAATATTCAGCGTTGTCAATCTTAAGAAAAATCACTAAGTCACCCACAATAATCAGCAGCATATCCAAATTTGGTCTTGCCATACGGTCGGATAGGCTCTATTTGCAAGAAGCTCCAGGCAGCTGATGGTGACGTAGTTCGCGTTACAGATGAGGATAGCTTAACAATAATTGGACTGCTGCAGCTGATGTGGTTGTGTGGGGTGGCTGAAGAATTTGACATCCTCGAGCTTGATAAGACAAAGGCCGCAAGCCAGGGCAAGTTATCACAGGTGGTTTAAGCCGCTTGTCCCAGAAAAAATACAAGCTTGATTTTAAGAAAATAAGAAGTTGTTAGCAAAGCAAACAAGCCTCTTATTTCACCAAATCACTCAAATACACTCCATAATTCAGCGTTGTCAATCCCAAGGGAAATCTCACCAAGTCGCCCACAATAATCAGCAGCATATCCAAATTTTTCCTCATTCACACAAAAAAAGTCAATCCAACGTTTCAAGAACTTTCTAAAATTCAATCAAATCAAGGCACTCTCATTTTGAAGGCACGAGCTGCCTGGTCTTTGCCTTCTCCATTCGCCTCAAGTCAGGCAGCATCCACAAATCACGGTACAGAACGCTTGCCAGCAGTGAGCCATGAAGCTTGCCTCATGCGCAAGGGAGCGTCCACGGAATTGCTTGTGCTTGGAACACAAAAGCACCATGCAATATTCTCCAAGAAATCCTTAACTCACGCTGACCAAGAATGCAAGAGCCTCCAAACTCTGTGAAAATTTAACTCCAAGCGGCACTCCAAAAAAAAGACATTACTCCACCTCGTGCTTTGAATAACACACCCATCAAAGGCCACCTACACCCGCTTCGTAGTGGACGTCAGTAAACAAGTAAGCGTGACTACAGCGCAGCACGTGCAGATGTGCTTTTAATAATATAAATGATCCTTTCCAAGAATTGATCCTTTTTCACAGTCTAGCTGAGCAGATAAAGCTTGACTGATGCAGAAGTTGGCGCGTAGAGTCGCTTCAGAGGGCTTTCTGCTGTGCTGGGCAGCTCTGAATTTCATATTTGCAGTTTCCAAGACACTGTCAGAGCTCAACTTCTGCACGCTATGCTCAGCATGCAGCTGGAGGAGCCAGTTATGTAGAAGAAGTGAATCATTTTTACATAATTGGTTCCAAGAGACCCTAGCAGCTGCATCGACAGTTTTTTTCATGCCTATGGGCACATCGTGCCTTTTTTTTGTCGGAAGACAACAGGCTGTGTATCTTTGTTTTGATGCCAGACTTGCTTAAGAAAAACTATCCTTCTTCAATGACAGTATAACTTTGCAGTATTTCGGTGAAATGCTGGCAGAGCTAGGGTGCAGGGATGCGAGAGTAGCCAAAGACTAGCTGAAGGTCTTCCCTTGGGAGGCACTGGAAGATTTGTAATGTCTTTCTCTTTGCTGTTCAGGCAGCGTCACTTGATGCAGAACTTAGATGTTGTGCGAATGGCCATCTTGAAAAAGTACTAGTTCCTCCAGGGACGCGTGGGTTGACTCGGATCGGAGTTGTGGAGAAGGACTTGCGAAGAAGTGAAGCATGGATGGATGTCTCCCATCAGCAAAGAGGAGGCCGTTGCCGTTGCCACAGACTCTCCCGCAGATTCGCTGTCGTTCAGTCATCCAAGATACAGTCAGTCACAGGTGAACGATGTCGTGACGGTCATGTGCAAGGTCACAGTTGATGGAGTTGATACAATAGCTGCAATGATGGCGGAAAACCATGAGCGTTCTTCGAGAGCTTGAGGCAAAGATAGTTCACTTCGTGCCAGGTCCTTTGATCTTCAGAGCGCTTATCGCCAGTTGGCCATCGCGGAAGCCTGACTGCCTTGGACACGGATATGCGTGTTCAATTCTGAGAAGAAGGAGACAGAGCGTTTCTATGACTCTATGCCTTTCGGTGGAAGAGCTTCTGTTGTTTCTTTCATTCGCTGTGCCAGAGCGATTCAATGGCTTGCCCGTCAGATTTACATTATTATCTCTTGTTATGACGATTATGTGAATGTGAGTAGGGCCTTAAGCTGCGCGATTTCGATTCGACAGCGAACGAACTGGAGCCAGCGTCTCACGCTTCCTTTTGCCTGCTGTCTGTCATAGCGGGCCGGACAGTGTGGGGTTCAGGGCGAGCGGTGAACTTACCATTCAAGCTATCAGATAAGAGTTTGGTGAGGCAGATCAGAACGCCATTTTGCTGCACCTTTCCAGTTCTTTCCAAGTGTGATATGTGTGCATGTGTGTGTGTGTGATGTAAGTGTGTTAAGTCGGAGGAGAATCGCAAAAGTTTTGCTCTGAACCCATGTGATGATGCTATGATTGGGTCTGGTGTCTTCCCCAGACTTGGCTGTTTTCGTC